GTAATGTGATCAGTTAATTTATATAATATATAGACAACACCAAATCAGATACTGATTAAGATTTAAGATCATTCCTGTAATCCCAGCACTGTAGGAGGCTGAGTAGGATTGCAGGTTTAAGCCCAGCTTGGGCAACTTAGCAAAACAATGTTTCAAAATTTAAGTGGGGGGGCCTGGGTTCAATCTCTAGTAACACACACACACAAACACACAAACACATACAAAGCTTTAAGATAAAATGGACTACACAACACATCAGGGCTGTTTGGGTACATGTAGATACCCTCTGATTTTAGTCATGACTTATTTACTAAGCTCGCCTGTGATATTCCAGGGACTGACAATACAAAGATGAAACACACCTTGACCAGAAAGTCTTAACTGAAATCACAGGCTAAAATGTAGGCATTTCATAATTAAAAGTAAACACTTTTGTCATACCACTGTACTGAAAAGCATTGTTAATTACCACTAATATTCTTGCTATCTGCTACTCAGCATTCTAAGAGCTCTCTGAAGATGTTTTCAGTTAACCTTTAAAGGTAGATTTATGTGAACTGCCTGTCCGTGGAGAGCTAGGATTTAAACTCAGGAGGTTGACTAAAACCTATCCTCTTTCTACCTTAATGAAGTATTAGACCCACTGCTATACCATCTGGACTTAATTTTGTGTAAAATACCGCTTTTGCACATTTTAGCCCTGGACCTAACTTTGAAATGGCTATTAACTGAGGCTCATCTAAGGCTCACAGAATGTAGCTCAGTGGTAGACCATCTGCAAGATCACACACACACACACACACACACACACACACACACACACTCAGTGTCACATTCTGTGCCTCTAATTTTAAGAAGCCCACATAAAACCTAATTTATAATTTGGTACCCTAAAAGCTTCAAAATAATCCATCATTTGAAAGTCTATCAAAAAATAAGAGAGGAACCACATAGGTGTGATCAGCATGTACTAATCCAAGCCACTGTGCTTGCCTAGTGTCCCGGAGGGAAAAGTACATGGACAAAATCCCAACTAGGCTCACAGTTCTCACCCTGAAGTTCCAAGATGATGGAAAACTTTGTTTTAGAACTAGGGTCAAGGCATTCTCTAACTTTCCTGAACTCCTGTGGAATGCTTTTTTTGTTCTTTCCTTTTTTTTTAAATAGCTTTTGCTTTCTCAAAGGTAAGACTACACAGGAAGAAAAAAGGAGCACCATATCATAGACAAGACTGATTAGTAAAAATGTCAGTGAAAAGCTAGAGGGGGCAATTCAGAAAGAAAGGGAAATAGAAAGTAGTCAATCTCTGGGTTAGGCAATGCATTTCGTTTTATAAATAGCACTCTAACTTGGAAAGGATGCCCCTAAGGTAGAAATGAGTTTATTCCAATTTTCTAGGCTCCCAAAGCACAGGCTACAATCAAAAGATAACTGTGCCATGATTTCATCATGACACATACTCTACTATGATAAGTATTGACTTAACACATAGCAAAGAGGAAAAGGTACATTGTTATAGACATGGCATGGCACTGAACACCAGTACCTTAACAATATTTACTCTTACTTTTTCTTTTCTTTCAACAGTTAATATGTTCATTATATATACACTATATGAAACACACAATAAGTACCTTCACCATTACAAATGAAACATACAATGTTACTTCAAACTGTGCTCATTTTAAATACTAACAGTACACCTCACTGAAAAGATGAAATAAAAGAAATACCAATGCTGAAAAATCGCTCTTCTCATTTACTACTCTATGCTGTGTTTACCACTTGAAACTCCAAAGTGTGACTGTGAGGAGGTTTCATTTCAGTACGCACACACAACTGGATCTAAGGCGATTCCAAAAGAATCAATATTGAATTATTAACAATTTCATTGCAATTCTTAATAATTTGGCCTCTAGCATGCTTTTAAAAATGTGATCTTGAGTCATAGCTCCTATGTTCTTTGGAGTATATGTGATTCAAAACTGTCAATACTAGTGATTCATCAAGGGCCATCTTGTCATCCTTACTGTGAAAGCAAAAGTCTTTGAAATCAACTTTGGGAATAAAAACTAAATGCATCTTCCCAACTTGTCAGGAAAACTCTAATCCATTTCACATCACATGCTAAACACTGCCTGGGTTTGGTGGAGAAACCCAGCAGAAAATAATACCAGGGCACAGAGAAAATGTGTGCCCAACATTTGCAACTTCTTGGAGAGAAAGTCAAAGGCATATTTCAGGAGTCACAGAGGGTGGACTGAGATGTACATTTGCAGATTAAACTCTGCCCTCTCTCCACGGGATCTTACTGACACCAGCACTCAAGAAGCACAAGGGATATGGGCAGAAATATCTAAATATTCATCAGTGAGGGAATCGTTAAATAACTCATGGAGCGGGCACATGGTAGCAGAGGATGAAAAATACTTAAAAAGGAATGAAATGCAAAAATCCACTAATCTATAAAATATACTCTTAAGTGAAAAAGGCAAAGCATGAAGTAATCTACTTGGAGTAATTTTTCTTGCTTTTTTGTTATGAAAAACTTGAACCATAAAAAAATTAGAGAGAAGAGAATCACAAATCATCATGAACCCATAACCCAGTTTTAACAATTAGCCAATTATAATTAATTTTGTTTTGTTTTGATTTTCCTCCCACCTCTACTATTTTAGAGAAAATCCCATGTACACTATTAGTTGTGTTAGTGTATATGGTCACCCCTCGCTATCTACAGGGGCATAGGTTGCAAGACCCTTATTGAACACCCCAAATCAAAGATATTTAAGTTCCTGACATAAAATGAATAGTATTTGTACATAAACTATACATATCCCCCATATACTTGAAATAACTCTGGTTATTTACAATACCTAATACAGTATAAATATTATATAAGTAGATATTACCCTACGTTATTTAGAGAATGCCAAGAAAATAAAGTCTGTACATGTTCAAGGCAGTTGCAATTTTTTGATCAGCATTGGGCTGAATCCACAAAGGCCTAACCCATGGCTGCACAGGGCCAAGTGTATTTTATTACACCATTACTGTATATTTATTATATGTTTTTACCTCTAAAAGATAATGACTTACAGAATTTCAATAAATTTTTATATTTATTATAAATACGCATACCCGCCTAAAATGTTTTATGAAAATACCTGTGGACCACCCCCCCGAAAAAAAAAGTTAGCATGGATCTTTGGGAAGAAGGGCTATGATGAGGGGCAAGGGAGCTGTCACTGTTCATTTAATATCTTCCAGTTCATTTAGAATTTAACTGCAAAAGGCCATCCCCACCTAGAAGAGCAGCAGGAAGGCTGCCACGACCAGAAGTCAGGGAGCTCTCAGTGTCCGGCCCTGCAAATAAGAGGTGGTCTTTTGCTATAAGAGGCCCACAGAATAGCTGATGTAGATTCACACCCTAGCAGGGAGCAATGTCCACCAGGTACAGGATATGAATTCTCTAAATGAATAAAAGGTAACAGAGTTTTGGGCTCAGTGACATTACTAAACATAATTATGATTCCAATGACATGCAGGGCAGACACTCAGGGGATGAAAAAGACTCATCTCAAAACCTACTGCCACCCCAGCTACAGTCGGCTGACGACAGCTGTCACTCAAAGGACTGGGACCTTACAGGGCAACTCAGAAACAGTTCTTTTTAAAAACAGGTTAATAGCTTCACTCTCTCTTCTTTTTCTTATGTTTATTCCTTATAATTTATCTAGTTTATAGGTTGAAAATTTATTTCCTTTGCTTTCTATCTATTCTGCCTTTTTTTTTTTTTTTTTTTTTTTTTTTTTCTTTTTTTTTTTTTTTTTTTTTTTTTTGTACCAGGGATCAAAGTCAGGACCTTGGGCTTGTGAAGCATGAGCAGCTCCACAGAGCTAAAGCCCTGGCCCTATTCTGAATTTCTGACACACGTGTCTCATATTAACACAGCCCTGGGACCCACAAGGGTGGATGCTGGGCTACTTTTCTGAGTCTGTTCACACAGAACTCATGTACAGCAAAGTCCTCACCATCTTTCAATCTTCTCATCAGTAGAGTGAGGATAATGAGAAAATGAGATTAAAAGTAGCTCACCTTTAGGGCCCTGTTCTTTTCTGACACAATGGAACACCCCGAAAATAAAGATATTGCAAATACACTCAAAAAGTATCAAAGACCAATCTCAATTAGGCTAGTCAAAAACTTAAACTTCTATATATATTTTATGAGATATATAATTTTCTCACTTTCAAGTATCACTTGAACAGGCTATAAAATATCCCTCAGTAAAAGCCAAAAGGAAAATTTCTGTTAAGGAACAGTCTTCTAACATTTTTACTGTTCATTAGCTTGAACATAAATAAACTTTCTTGTTATTATTGTTTTGGTGGCACTGAGGATTAAATACAGGGCCTTTATACTGAGCTACCTCCCCAGTTCTTTTAATTTTTATTTTGAGACAGGATCTCACTAAGTTGCTAAGTTGCCCAGCCTGGAGTCTTCCTGCCTCTGCCTTCCAGGGTGCTAGAATTACAGGTATGCACCACACTGCCCAGCAAATAAGTTCTTTGAAATAGTTAACTTTAAAACAGCTGGTTGTCTTGATCAGGTTATATCCTGGCCCTGGCAATTGTGTCTTATCAATATTTAATAAAACTTGATATCTGTAGAGAGTACACAGAAATAGTTTACCTAAGCACCTGGTGGCATAGTTTCTATATCAGTGATGTTTTACTGTACTTTAACCAAGGACTTATTTCTCCCACAGAAGTGCTTACCAGAACAAAATACTTACGAATGATCCAAAGTGAAACTAATCTAAGATGTAACTGAAGAATAATGATATTTTCCATCCAAACTGCCCAATTTTGCCCTAAGGAGCTCTTGTTTCTCTAGGCCTAGTTACAGACATTTGTGGTCAGTGGAAAGATTTGCTGACTGATAGCTGAAAGCACCAAAACAGAGTGCCACCTGAGGCGTCCCCTTTCCCAGGGTACCTGCTTCATCTGGGGTGCTGGGGGAGGCGCTGTCATGGGACAGTGTTGTCCAGCTTGACTCCTCATCACTCGGGGCCAGGTTCTGGATCCGGTGGAGTGCACAGTCGGTTTTGGCCCCCGTTTTAGGGTGATCCTTCTTGGTCTCCGGGCTGGATGATATGGTGGCTACCTGGCCATCTTCTGGACTAGACTGGGGTTTGCTTGGTTTCTGCAGTAGCAAGTCTCCATTCCCGATGATGGCAGGAGCCTGGCCCTGGCCCGGCTGGACCTTGTCTTCCTCAGTTCCTTGGCAGTTGCCCAGGTTCTGCTCCAGTTCTCGGGTTGAGGTTTCCAGATCTGCATAGTAATTGAGGAAGCTCTTAGTTCTCCTGGGCTGGGAGGGTAAAATCTCACAGCCCAAGGGCTCCTGGGCACAGGGCTCTTTCCCCTCTAACTTCTCAGAAGTTATGTTGATGACTGCAGCAGGGCTGATGTTTTTGTTGGGGTCTTGCTGCCCCTGCTCAGCAGCCTTCCGGAGCTGGTTCTCCCCATTTTTCACCAGCTTGATGTTAGCGGAGCCATTTCCCAGCAGGGGCTGCGCCACGGGATCTGAGAGGCCCATAGCCGCCTGGATGTTAGTTAGTGCATATTTTTTCCTGCATTTGGGAGGTGTGCTGTTCTTGGCATCGGAGTGCTTTATTTCAGCGTTCAACAGTTCATTATGAGAGGAACGGAGATTAAGGGTGTTTGGTGGTGTGACTGGGCTGCTGCGATTTGCGATGTCTGTGGTTCCGCTGCTGGCCATAAACACTGCCAAGGTGTCAGCACCCGAGTCAGCTGGAAAAAGAAAAAACTGGTTGTTAGATTCACGCCAACTAAACAACTGAGGGTAGCATGTGAGCCACATTTTTATACAGAAAGTTGAAAGAATAAATGCTTCCATGGCATCATATATTCTTCTAGCGTTTACCCATTTTCTTTATTTCACAATTTGTTCGCGCAGTAAGTAGAAGCAAATAAAGGGATATTAATGTGAACACACTGTATTCAAAAGTCAACATACAGAAAAGCTGGTATCAGAGGGTTGAAATTTTACTTGGAATAAAAAATTCATTTCTCTTTTGAATTCATATAAAAGTATTTCCTTCTCGTTGCCGGTCTTCATTTTTTACAACCTTGAAAATTACACCCTTTACAAATATTTATGACATATTTTTATTCTGTAGTTCCTTCTCAACAACAACAAAACTGATCAAAATTCCTTGGGGGCTCCAGCTTCCTTAACCCGAAACGACACTGTTCAATGATGTTTCATACATCCAAGGTAAATTTTCTCATCCTTGTTTAGAAATTGTATTGTGAACGCCTGGAAAACCAAACCTTTATTAGAGTTTGTGAATGTCTTTGTGAACTTTTTGAACCTGGGCTTAGTGTTTGCATTCAACAGAAATTCTGAAGAAATGGTTTAATTTCTCAAGAACACATACAAATACAACTCTTACTAAAAATACAGCACTGAGCCCTGGGCTACAAGAACATGCTAGAGCCCCCAAAGGAGTCTGAATAGATTTCACTGAATTAAATACAGACTCAGCTGTTTGGAGTCATTCTGTGCCACCGCAGAACTCCTACGAAACTATCTGACCGTTGCATTTATCTCAAACATCCTTTGCACCACCAGTGATTTATTCCATATGTCCCTTGCTAGGAAGAAAAAAAGGTTTCTCATACTCAAAAGAAATAAAATTCATCTGCAAGAATTCCTAAGGTTTCAGATTTCTCAGTCCATGAGCAATGACTTATTTCTTATCTGATCCTTTGCCCTCCACAGAGGCTTAGGTGATTTTTACATCAGCAGCAGAGGAACTAAAGCACAGCACCGTCTGACACTCTTGAAACTATATTCTGACAACTCCCTGTTCCTCCCCCAGGCAAAAGTGGGGCCTCCACAGAAGAAGAGGGCAAGAATACCCTCCCGTTTGGAATCTCAGTGGTATCTCTGTATCGTTAAACACACAGGTATGGAAATTTTAGGTAAGAGTTACTTGCTCATTCTAGAATCCTTGTGCTTCCAGGAAACCGGGCAATGTCTACATCTAAGTAAGAGCCACATCTGTAACAGAAGCGCCATGGGCTGTGAGACAGTTCAGGGCTGGAGCCTGAAGTAGTCAGACTTTGGGTCTCATTCTTCCAATATTGTTTATAAGGATTACTGCTTACCCAGCAGTCCCTTCAGCTCTTGGGCCTCATTTTATAGGAATAGAGAATGAATGTCTTTCTTCCTTTGAAACAACGTTCTGACAACTAAATTTTGAAAAACTGTTTTACGGACTGCTTCATTGCTACTACCACCATTTTATGGAAACCATACACTTCAGTTTATATTCGATGTCATTCAAGAGGAGCATTTGACATGAGGAGGCTGCACCTCAAACCCAGAGTTTTTCCTGAGACACGTATCTGCAATGTAGATATACAAGAGAAAGTTCTTTGTACACTCTTATTCAAAATGGCTTTATGAGAAAGGAGAAACATGCCAGATTCCTAAGAGGCATGCAAAATTATTCTAAGTCTGTTTTATGATTGTAGGTAGTATATTCTAGCAATGTTATTAGGAAGAATTTTTTTTTAACTTGGTAAGCACAAATATTTTCAGAAATAATGCCATATGAATTTATAGGTGATTTTAATATTCAAATAGCTGTTAAATGCTGGATGCAACAACAACAAAAAAATGCTGGATGCAATAGATAAAAACATTTAGCCAGGTTCACAAGCCATGGGGATCCCACTGCCCTCTCCATTTTTAAGAAATCATGGCAATGTGAGGACAGGAAAAAGGCTGTGTTGGAAGAGAAGCCTCTAATACAAACCAGATGTGCAAACACAGCTCTGTATGTGCTGTGGGTATGTATATATACTGAATACTGGTAGTACGTAGAGACAAAATTACAGGCTCTATCCTAGAACTGAAGCAGCCAAGCTAATCCCATGAAGTGTACAGTGGCCTCCAGGAGTTTAAATATCAGCGAAGAAGTCCTCTGGGCTCAAAAAAGTCAGAATATGGATGTCAGCAGAGTCCTAGAAAACTCCAGGCCACAGAAGGAGGGCCTGTATATGAGAAGCAATTAAGCACATAGAACCCAAGTTCAGAGAAACAGAGGCTCAAGATGTGTCCCAGCTACTTGCTAGCAGAGTGATCTAGGACATGTGGCCTCTAGCTTCCTTTGTCGGAAAAATGGGTCCACCAATAGTACTTGATTGATGTTAGGATTAAAATGAAAAATGCCGGCCGGGTGTGGTGGCACATGCCTGTAATCCCAGCACTCGGAAGGCTGAGGCAGGAGGATCACTGTGAGTTCGAGACCAACCTGGGCTTCATAGTGAGTTCCAGGTCAGTCTCAACTACATAGTGAGACCCTGGTTCAATAAAGAACCAA